CCCATCCAAATTAGCAAACATTTTCTGCAGCCGATCCGTGCAGGAGGTCATTGTTGGTCTAGCCTTAGGCTGCTCCTCCAGGCAGTCATCTCGAAGTTCTTCCAGCTCTTGGGTCAGAGTCACCTTGGACGTATGGATTAGCCAGCCTAGACCCCACACGTCGACTGCAGTATCGTGAGGGCCCAGAGAAATCTCAGGTGCATGACAGGCACCGGAAAGCATTGCTGCAGCACACGGAGCTGGAGAAGTGCAGGACTCATCCCAGTCAAAGAGCACCCACTGGTTGGAAGTGAGATCGAGTCCCACGTTCCTCCAGCTCACGTCCCTGTGTATCACACCCCTCTCATGGGCATAACACAGCGCACTGGAGACATGAAGCAAGGCCTTTAACAGCTCGGGAACGGGCCTGGCTTGCTGGTTCGTATCCAGCCGCGGCGTGAACGTCAAAGTGTACAACCGATCGTCCTCATCAGGATCATTCCGTTTCCTCTTGCGGGGACAGGTCCTTGTATGACACTTCTCTGCATTTGGGCAGCCCTGTATGCGTGAATACGTGTTCCACACCTTCTTTGCCTTCTCCAGGTCCATATACCCCTTGATGACCGAGTATCCCGAAAGAACCACGGACTTGCCACCCTTCTCAGAATCCACTTCCTGCACCGTGAACGTATCAGAAATCTCGTTCCTCTTCGAGCATAGATCACAAAGGCCCGCCAGAACCCTCCCCAAGTTGAAAAGTATCAGCTGGGACCGCACCCTGCCAGTCATGCTGCTCAGATCCACCGTGACCAAATCTTCGCACTGCACCTTGCCCCCACCATGGTAGAGTGCACCGAATGTCACGTTGGGACCCCTTGCATGGTAGCCAAGCAGATAAGGCACGTCCTTGTACACCCAGACCAGCTTGTTCATGAGCTCCTTCTTTGGATTCCCTGGCCCCCGAACTACCTTTTCTTCACCCCGGAACAAAGAATAAAGAGCGCCCACATATCCAACGTAGTCAGGAAGTTGAGACAGTGTCTGCGTCTCGCAGTTTGTGTTCCTGTCGAAAGTGAATGGCACAGAAGTCTGAAGGTACCCCTTGATTGCTTCGTGTATAAGCGTGTTCCAAAACGGAATGTAAGAAAATTCTGTAATGCCTGTAAGAGTATAGAATGGCATCAGCAACCTGAGGTTGAAGAGAAAGAGGAAACGCACCAACTTCGGGAGGTTTGATGACGCTAAGAGCCAGAAGGCTTTCCAGGTCAACGCAATACGAATTTGGGGTGCCCTTGCTGAACATCCCAGCTACATCATGGGACTCTAGAGTCGCATACCTCGCGGGGCTCAGCGGAAAACATAATCCCGCCGGTTTCGATACCAGGAATTCCTTGAGCGATGCAAGATCAGGAACAGCCGGGGTTGCGTATTCGCTGAGTATGTGGCGTGTGGGATCATCAACGCCTGCCAGAAGACTCAGATCATGCAGCGGAGGAAAGAGGGCATACCTTCAGCCACTGTCACTCGAGCTTGGACGACGCGGCGGGAAAGAGCTTCGACTGTCAGAAGAGCGACATCGAGGGTAGCACCCACAGCTTTCTTGCTGATTCGAACAAGCGATTCCCTCGCCCACGGCAGGAGAGATTCAGCCTGGGTAGAGCTCAGAGATTCGACAGCAACTTGGAGTACCCTCTGAGCACCCAGGTACGAGCGAGGATCATCCAGAAACCCCTCGGCAGCGTCCACCACTCCCACGAGATCGTCAAGCGTACCCATAGCAGCAGAATTTAGGGCCCTAAAACACATGGAATACTTTATAGGGCCAGTTGTTCCAGTGGATATTCTCTCAGGTCAATGGCTGAGATCTGTTCTGGCTAGATTATTCAAATAATTTGCTTTCAGGGATTTTAAATTTAAATAAATGTTTAATATTTCTATATTAAAGGTATACTTTTTTAAAAAACTATATTTTATTATAAATAATTTTAAAATAAATATGCATATTCATTTGAAAAAACAGTAATAGTAATCTAGTATTTAATATCAATTACCAGAAATAATAATAAATTTATATATATATATATATATATATATATATATATGAATCAAACAAAACCTCTAAATAAAAATTTAAGGAATTCATTAAAAATTTAGTAAAAGAGGATGATATTTAAATTTTTTATCTTATTTTAATTTTTAGTATATTTTTATGGTCATGCATATTTTTTTAAAAGTTACACACTAAGTAAATAACACATTTATATTAAATGAAAATAATTGGTATTTGAATATACCATTTTGGTTTGCAATTATAGATGAAAGCGTTTTAGAATATTTTAAATAAATTATCTTTTAAACCACCAATTTTGGAAGAAACATGACAACATTTTCAATAGTGAGCAATAAGTAGCATGACAATTCAACAAGTTAAGTTAATCATTTATTGTGGTACATAATGTAATTAGGAGATAGGTGATATTGATTTCTTTCACATGTGTTTTAATGCTTTAGATTGTGATCTCTCAATCCATATTTCTGTTGTGCTCAAGTGTGGCTTTTATACAAGAGTGATAGAAAATTATAGGATTATAATATTTTTAAAGATTTTTCATCTCATTTCATTAGTTAAACAGTAGAATTAGGGAGTTGTTATGATAAGTGAGGATAGTGGGATGATAGAGTTTGTGTGTGGGGATACTGGTATGTTTGTTATTGTGTGTGTACTTCCATGCATTTATGCTTTTTTGTAGTTTTTTTCTTCCCAGGAGAAAGATTCATACTCAATTGGATTAGGGGGTCCTAGGAGTTTCCAAACACATCTTAGCATAGTACTTACTTGCACCCTTGAGATTAGGGACCATATTGTTCTCCTTTCTCCTGACACAACAAGCATCCATGTGTGGGGATTAACCTCCTCCATTACAAATTGTAGAGCTAGCAATGCAAATAAAGGATGGGGAGTGTTGGAGCATGAGCTCCAACATGGCTCTGTCACCATGCTCACTCACATTTCACTCTCTCTTTCTCTCGAGGTGTTAAAGAAGAAATAGGGTAGAACCAAATATTCATTCTAGGCAGCAGAATATCCTTAGTATCTAGGAGGCTACTCCCAACAAATGACCACTGGACGATCAAGTGCCTCTAGCATAAAAAGAACCAATGACTTCACCTTGTGATGTGGCCAAAGTAGAAACTTGAAAGAAAACAATGAAAATGACACAAGAAGAAAGTACAATAGGAAGTAGTAAAAAAGCTAGAAGAAATAACACATTGGACCACCTAATGTGATTGTTAAAATCCCCAATAATCATGAGGGATCTTAAATGCTCTATTATGACATATCATCTTCTGAAGTGGGAAGAAAGGAGATGAAATCATATACCCTAATTCCATACGCTCTTTTCTTTTATCTTCTCATATGTTCATCTTATAGCTTTTTGTGATAAACGGAAGACAGAACTAGAGTTTCTAGAACTAGAGTTCCTTGGTAAATGTGACCATCACAGATGGTCCAATCCGGTTGGTCACTAAAATGAGTAAGATATCTCAACATTCTTTAACTTACTCATGTTCCACTTCAAGAGTAACTACATTGATTGAGGCTCATAATGCCGAAGGGGCAATGAAATATTGGTCGTGGCCAGTGGCATTCACCAAAGTAGACAGCTCAAGGATGTGTTGGTTCTTTCCAAGCTTAAGAGGAATGTGAAGAAGAATGTCCTTGAAAGTATGATCAAGATGTATGCGATGGATAGCATTTTGTACTCTCCTCCTCCCACTCACATCAAGCACACTTCTTTTCCCTTTTTCTTCTGTGATTTTTAGTTTCTACTTCTCTTTGTTTTAATTGCCTACTGTATTTCTTTTTCCTTTTCTAACTTTTTTCTCTTGGAGGTTAGCTTGATTCTTTTGGGGTACCAGGTGAGATTACCAGAGGCTCACGAATTGTTTTGAAGGAGATTTGTGGATAAATCGATCATTCCCAGCTCCACGGTGTATTTTGCAAGTTTTAAACTGCCAATAGCCTCGTTCTCGATATGGTTCAACTGTGGCAGAGTGACCTGAGGCTGACAGACTTGTTGTTGACATCCCAATTATACTTTTGACAAGTCAGACGTCTACATTCTAACAATTAGGAGTTGCAACATACGTCTGTAAATAATTCTATGGATAGCCAAAGAGCTAAAGCTATACTTGCCTCACATAGAAATTGGTATATGCCAGTAGAGCGTTATTTCTACTTGATATAGCCACATAATATAGGATGATCAAAAAGAGGTTCAGTTGAATTCTGGCTGGTTCGCATTCTTTGGATGTCAAACCTAAGCTACTTGAGATCTAGTAAGCTTCTACAGCAGTTTAAGATCTCGAGAAGTATTGTTTGTGTGGCTCTCTGTAGGACCTGGATGAGATTCCAGGCTATATTCTTCCCGCGAGGCTTATGGAAAATAGCCCGTGCAATTATCCATTACTTGGTTACAGCGTATTTTATTCAAGTATTAATGTGGAAGTTTTCCGGGTTGCACTTTCTGGAAAGACTGATGCACCCGCCTTGACAATGCAATGCATGTCTCGAAAGGTCTAGGGTCTGGGGAAATGGGCACTCCGAAACCTGAATCACGTAGTCACTTCTACTCTTTCCCATGTCTCTGATGCTTTGTTTCTTACAGGATTCCAGTTTTTCAGACGCTTGGGCCGATGAAATAGTTTCAGAAGAGTCCTTGCTTATGGACATCTTATCTATGACATTTTTGGACTCCCGCTGCAGCTGGAAAGATTGTTTCTCTTCAGGTATGTGGCACTGATTTTCTTGCTGACCCTGCAGTTTGTATTCGAAGCACGGTACAGGCTAGCAGTTACATGGGAGGCAGAAAAGACGCTTGTGCACGTAGAAGTCAGGGTTTATTGATCCTTATAGAGGACGATTTCTTTTTTGACATAGAAGACGCTATCTTATTTCATTGTTGTTATTATTAGTAGTGTTATATAAATATTCTTGGATATTCCTGGCATATCTGATTAAAGTTATTTATTAAAAGTGTCTAAACCAACATAGATTAGTTTTACATTTTAGTAAATTCTCAAAAATCTGTTCCACCGATTTTACTCAAACGTTCTCAAAACTAGAAGCTCACTCGCGCCATACCGGATGCTGACAGGACATCAAAGTTCCGTGTAATGGCAAAAAAAAATAAGAATAACCTTAAAACCCGGAGGAGCCCTAAAATTCCTCCAAGTGAGAATGAATGGAGCCCTAGTCGATGCTGGCCTGCGCGAGAGGTCGGATGGCAGCGCGCGGAGCCACGGATGCAGGCGCCGGCGAGAATGTAAGCCTTGCGTAGCTCTCAAATCTCGTAGCAGAGGTTTTGCGATTAGGGTTTTAGGTAGCTCGTTGGGAAGAGAATTAAGTTTCGAATCTTTGGTTTTTTAAAAACTTGCTCTTTCGCTTCCTTTGTAGCTTCCGTGGAATGACATTTTCACTGTAGGATTGGCGAGTAGAGGCGCGGGGCTGGATTGATTTATGACTTGGGCGAGAGCGAGGAGTCGAGTTAGCGATTTTTCCATGGGTATTGGAGCCAATGCAGCGGCAAGGATTGAACGAGAGCATTCGTGTGCTGCTGTGGAAAGGCTTGTAGGAGAACTCAGGTCGGGAAAATTCTTTTCTTTTTTGCTTTCGTTTAGTTTTCTCTAGTTCTCATATGTTTGTCTGTCAGGCAAGAGGTAGCTTTTCGTGATAAACGGAAGAAAGAGCTAGAGTTTCTAGAGAAGGTATGATTGTCTCGTTGTTTTTTTTTTTTTGGTTCTCTCTTTACACGTTAGAGTGTAACAGGGAGGTAATCCGCTTGACTTTGAATACGGCGACTTAGTTTCTTTGCCATCTACTTTATCGGTAGTTTTAAGGTAACACTGTGTTCTTCTTTTGTGGACTTATCGTCGTTTCACTATTTTTTGTTTAGTGACTCCGAGGCCAAGGAGAGAAAACTTTTCGTTCTTCAGAATAATATTCATCCCAAGCACGGGATCTTGACAGAGTTGCTGGTGTCAAGACTCCAAAGGAACGGCGAATTTAACGAGCCGATCAAGCAGGTGTTGCGGAGAGGAACTCTGTCGAGTATTGTACGAGTAAAAGAAGAGAAGTCCGGTACACCACCGCCCACAATTGTAGCTGATCCAAAAGCTGAGAATGGATCGTGCGCGTCATCTCACTCCATAGACGCTAGAGTCTCAAGCGTGGAAGCAACAACAGTATCTAAGAGTCCGTTGCAGGAAGGTAACAGGGAAGAAAAGAATGGCATCGCCAGCCAGGAGGACATTAAAGAAGAAGGAAGCGAACTTGTTGTCACAGAGAAAAAAAGCGAAGAAGAAATTCTTGGCGCTGCAATATCGATCAAGGTATCACACACAAAAGCGAGAGGCTAGCCCGAGCTGTGGCACACGCATTTCGTCGTGCATTTGATTCGGACTAACTCAATTTACTCGTTGCTAGGCTGTCGCGGACTCTGCTGCTAAGAAACCTCTGTCGGCTCCTCCAACACAAAAGTCTCATTGGGATTTTGTGCTGGAGGAGATGGCTTGGATGGCAAATGATTTCATGCAGGCAAGTGAACGTTCAGGTTTTTGAAAGAATGTATCTCTAACACTTGTTTCAGGAACGACTATGGAAAGCTAGCGCAGCAGCTCATCTTTGTAGAAGCGCATCTCAAGCTCCGTTTTGGGCCACTGCTGAGGCGTTCACAAAGTCGTCAACTGATATAGTAAGCGAGACTACGTTGATGAGAGGTTCTTATTACACTACTGGGATTTCAGGCACTGTCCAAGGACACTCAAAGGCTTCCTTTTGAAAACTATGCCATCAAGTTTTTAGCAAATACGATGGAATCGCCACCTAGTTTGAAGGCTCCATGCACGCCAGAACTAAAGGAACGAGCTGTGTCTTTAAGCAATTTGCCTTTGCCGGTAATTGGTTTTTCCACTGTTTTTTCAGTATGCTAACACTGCTATAATGTTTGAAGCTCCATTATATCATACCTCCCGGGGTTGCCGAAGCATACAGAACATACATAGAAGATTCATGGGCATCTGTAAGCCTTTTTCCTGCTTTTCGTGACTAGAATGAACCTTGTTCTCGCAGGCCTATGATTATAATTCACGAAGGCAAAGTTCGCAAGATAGTGATTCCGAACTGGAAGATGATCTTTTGAAACTTGACAACGATGTCAGTTATGCGACTGGTCTGAAAAAGAAGAGAAGGCAACAAGACGAGTTCAACTACATTATACCTGCGAAAAAACAACGGACAGTGAGCATTCCAGGCCGACAACGCTCCGATAAGGTAAGGAATGCTGTTCGTGCTCGATTGCTAATTTCAATTGGCTGCATGGCAGAAATCAAAGAAGTTAAAGTCAAATAAATCGACTAAGGTTTGCTTTCTCCTTACCGCGTCTGGACTTTTTCTGATTGTTGTGCTGTTAGGGAACGGATTCTGAGAATGAATGGGTACCAGAAGCATGCTACTCTGAGAAGGTATTTCTTCCGTCTATTCGCTGTTTTGGCTAATCTGATTGTCCTTTGCAGCAGCCCAAGCGTAAACGGGACCAGTTTTTTGGGAACAAATCAACTGGTATGTTCTACGATAGTATAGTGAGACCAAACACTTACGTGCATCTTTACAGATTTATCTGGATTTAAAAGGCCTAAACTTTCAAATCTAATCAGCAGAAAAAGCATTTTACGAAAGGTTCAAAGCAGCTTGTGCGAGTTGAATTGCACTAAGTTTCCCCGTTTAGCAGGGAGAATTTTGTTCTAATGGGACCGGAAATGGGAGTTCCTGGTCATCGCTTGAGGATCAGGTACTTTTATCTGTTTCAGCATAGCGACTAACTATATTGGCAGGCGATACTTGTGTTGGAGCACGATTTTGGTGGCAATTGGAAACTACTCAGTGACATTCTCAACAATGGGAGCCATATCAAGGTACGAAAGGGAAAATTGCCGTGAGTTTTTTGTAATAATTCTGTGAGTGTTTTACAGGGGCATTTTCGCAGCTCAAAATCTTGCCAAGAGCGGCACATGTTTCTCGAAGAAACAGCTGGTGATCCAAGTGTTTGGGGAATTCTTAAAGTAGGAGATGTTGCATGTTTTCTTGTCTCTAATTCTTTTCTAGCAGGGATCCGCGATGCTGCTACTGCAAAAGCTGCAGGGACCCCTGGAACATGACACCTTGAAGCTGCACTTTGAAGAAATTGTGAAAGCAAAGCAAAGATATGCTTCCGCGCAGCGGGTTAGACACTCCCTTTTACTTACATTGTTTCCGGAAACTTCAAAAACTGGCTTGTCATTTCCAGGATCAACCGCCTGAAACCGTACAGCCTCACGAATCACATGTGGCCATCATTGCTCAAGCTCAGAGGAGCAAAGGGCGATTTTTAAGGTGCGACAACCACTCAAATGTAGGCTATACACTGGAGAGCTGACTCTTTCGCTGTGCAGTCCACTAGATTTTCCCGAAGATCAAGGAGAATCGAAACCAGGTGGACGATGCGTCAAAAGAGAAACTGCATCGGAACCAAAAACTTTACCTTCTCAGGCGAGGAACCCCCAGGTATTGAGTTTTAGTCGAGACTCCTTTTGCTGATGATTTTGGTTGTAGGAGAAGAATAATAACGACACAAAAGACGGCCCAAGTAGTCAGCCCTCTTCAAAGCCCGATGGTCAGAAAATCGCTAGAAACGGTCAAGTTGGAAGAAAAGCTGGGACCCAGAAGCAGCAGATACAAAGACCGAATCCGGTGAATAGTGTTAAGCAGGAGCCGCTCCAGAGAATATCTAGCGACGCTGCCAAGATAGAACAGCAGCCACAAACGATTCAAGCACAGCAGCCACATGCGATTCAAGCACAGCAGCAGCAGCCACCACAGAGAAACTTTTCTCTACAGAAACTGGAATATCGACAAGAGCAACACCAACCGCAGCAGCTCTTGGGGATCACTCCAAGACCAACCTTTCAACAAAAGCAGAAGTTACCGGCGTGTTCTACTTCTACTTCTCAGCAGCTGCCGGCTCACAAGTCTTTCGCGGAGCAGCACCACCAACACCATTTTTCCAGGCCGCCACAATCGATGCAGCAGTCGATCCAGCAGCCGGGCTTCCACTACAACAGTCGATGCTTTGCTGCCGGACCGGGGCCTCAAGCTCGAGCTGCTGTTGCCGCTGGTGCTATACGTGCTCAAGCTCCCGGAGGACAGTGGAGGCCATCTCAAAGCTCGGCTCATACTTACAGCCATGCTGTGGACGCTCCGGCCTTTCGCTTCCAGAACCAAAGCTCCGGAAGACCGATGAAGCAAGCTCAGAGATCACTTGCACAGCATCACCAGCAAGCAGCGCAGCCACAACAGTGTGGAGTTTCGTATCTTCCGTCTTCCATGACCGGGGCAGTGCGGTATCAAGCGTCTCACGCGGCCGTTCCTGCAAAGGTTGGAGCGATTTCTTTTAGCTTGCTTTCTCATCTTTGTTGGTTTTATTTTGTTCTAGACATGGAGTCCTTCGGAGAGGCCCACTGCTGGAACAGTGGTAACATCGTCACCTCCAACAGCAGCAGCAGCAGCAGATCCTCCTCCAGCAAGCTGTAAATAATGTGAGCTGAGGAAGTTCTCGCTTTTCGTTCTTTGGTTCTTTGCTTCCTTTCCATTCGTCTGTGTTGAGTGTAAATTTTTGTGCCGTGTACATGGCCCGGACCTAAAGAGAGTTTCTTTTTGCTTGACAACATATGTTTCTTACGTGGGCTTTGCATTCCGTTATACAAATGATCCTCGGTGAACTTTGAGAGACACACGGAGTGATCTTTCTTTTCCAATCGTCTCTCCTTATATATAGCACAAGCTCGGCCAAGGTAAACGAGACGTATGATTTGCCCAGCAGTGATTGCCACCGGATTGGAGTATTTCCGCACGTTTTGCAATCAACACGACATAAAATGTTTATGTTGTGGACGTGGACCACGCCAGAGGAACAAGTTGTTCTTTGGAAATGGTAAGAACACGCTTTCGCTTGCTTGACAGTAGCGTGCTTCAAGCATGCAAGAAGCTCAAGAAAGGCAAGCTGCAAACTTCAAGTAAACTTCAAGCTGCAAGAAGGCATGCTGGAGCTTGACTGTCCAGGCAATTTACATGCTTCTCTGAAGCGCATGGAGCTGCGATGGCCATGCAATGGAGGCAACCATAATCAGAGACCTTGAACGGCCAAGATGGGTAGGCATGGCCAGTGAGCTGGAGCGCGCGCGACAATGAGGATGCCACTGACGTCAAAACAATAATCCAGTGGCTCCAAAAGCAATGGCAGCACAATTTCTTTTTCAGATCATATAGTTCTGCTCTTCCACTTGGCAGTTCCTCAGGCACGAACTCTTACAATCCTTAAAATACAATCCGTAACATCCGTGTATAATAATCCAACAGAGACCATCTTTTGAGAACTGTGAGATAACCTGGGAGATGGGTGATTTAGTTTGCATCGGGATTGCTAGCATCCACATACGAAGAATAGCTCAGGGGACAAATGCAATAGTACTCACCACAAGATCCCGGGAACTTTCGACATAATGTCGTCGGTGATGCTTTTCCCAGTGTCCACAAGAACATCGCCGTGGACCCGGAGATCGCCGCTTGGAAGGAGCCACAAGAATCTGTTTCTTAAAGTGATGGACTCAATCTTGGAACCATCCCTCTTGTGGTTGCAACTTATTGTTTATCGCAAAGAATCCAATCTCCTCTCCGTAAGAGCACCACTCGCCATAACTCACCCCAGAGGTGGAGAACTTCTCGGGTTCCACGAGGAGGCGGAAGTAACCGCGAAGACACTAGAAAACGGAGGACATTGCCTCGTAGTGAACTGAAGCCAATCCCGCAGCCAGATTGCGAGAAGGCTGATAGAGGATGATGCCCGCTTAAACCGAATCGCCACGAGGAGTTTGTGGGAACCAAGGCTTAAGCACTTCCATAGGAGTTCTTGACAGAGAGATCAGGTGTCATGCTGCCAGGCTGCTAGGATTGTCTTCCAGACAACCTCTACACCCAAGACGTTTGATCGGCTTGGATCGAACGTAACAAGAAGAATACTCCAGGATTTTATGTGATCCAGCACCTCCAGATGGTCAATGTGATCTTTCTTTCAGCGATCCGATGCTCGAAGAGGCTGACCGACGCAAATCCATCTTCCATCGGATTAAGCTCTCTGTGCGACCGACGATGAGAATGGGAGCTCGAGAATGAGTCCAGTGTCAAGGTACGAGCTTGACCCCAGGGCAAGCTTTTCTACAATCGCGTTGGAACCTTCGTTCGAGAAAAATCTCGAGGTATGGAGACAGAGCAATTTCACCGCTAACTAAGGTTTGCGCCTAGATCAAACTATTCATAGCAAGCTCTTGTATGATTCCAGATCAAGTCCAATCTCGCCGAGAAACATTGACGAACTGCCGAGTTTTCTGTATCTCCGGAAGTTTACGAG